ATTCTTCTCATGCCGTCGGTGGGTAAACCTACGCTCACAACTAGAACTGCAAATAGGCGAAATTACAACGACGAATATAGCTGTGAAAATGCTAGAATCGGAAGAGATCTGGAATGCTGTATCGAAATACTGCGAGCAGCTACTAAAAATGAAAAAGAGGGACTTAGACAACCCTCTAAGACCTCAAAACGAATAGCGGAGCTTGGACGCAAGCTAGAAGAAGAAGAAGGCCTTAGAAGCCCGGGAGCCACCTCGAAGTAATACGTAAGTGGTGCCGAGGTGGTAGTAACTCCCAGAGGTCGGCAGGTGGGTTTTTTAGTCGGTACCAAGATATTATTATATATTATTATTATATTATTATTATTATTATTATCTTATTATTATTATATTATTATTATATTATGATATTATTATATTATTATTATTTATTATTATATTATTATTATTATTCTTATTATTATTATATTATTATTATTATTATTATTATTATTATTATATTATATATTATTATTATTATATTATTATTATTATTATTATTATTATTATTATTATATTATTATTTATTATATTATATTATTATTATTATTATTATTATTATATTATTATTATTATTATTATTATTATTATTATTATTATTATTATTATTATTATTATTATATTATTATTATTATTATTATTATTATTATTATTATTATATATATTATTATTATTATTATTATTATATTATTATTATTATTATTATTATTATTATTATTATTATTATTATTATTATTATTATTATTATTATTATTATTATTATTATTATTATATTATTATTATTATTATTATTATTATTATTATTATTATTATTATTATTATTATTATTATTATTATTATTATTATATTATTATTATTATTATTATTATTATTATTATTATTATTATTATTATTATTATTATTATTATTATATTATTTATTATTATTATTATTATTATTATTATTATTATTATTATTATTATTATTATTATTATTATTATTATTATTATTATTATTATTATTATTATTATTATTATTATTATTATTATTATTATTATTATTATTATTATTATTATTATTATTATTATATTATTATTATTATTATTATTATATTATTATTATTATTATTATTATTATTATTATTATTATTATTATTATTATTATTATTATTATTATTATTATTATTATTATTATTATTATTATTATTATTATTATTATATTATTATTATTATTATTATTATTATTATTATTATTATTATTATTATTATTATTATTATTATTATTATTATTATTATTATTATTATTATTATTATTATTATTATTATTATTATTATATTATTATTATTATTATTTATTATTATTATTATTATTATTATTATTATTATTATTATTATTATTATTATTATTATTATTATTATTATTATTATTATTATTATTATTATTATTATTATTTTATTATCATTATTATGAAAAGTTTACTGACGACATATATTCTAAGTTAAGTAGGCTTATGTCTGAATGCAAGTAGTTTATAATTTACTAGTTGAACCCGGTGCGCTTCGCTACCCCTTTTGATATTATATGCATTTAAAGTTTTATATACGAATATTTGTTTAAAAAAAATCAAAAATGTAAAAAACGTTATTATTGTAATATTTTAATGCGTAATCAAACAAATAGCTTGGTCTACCAGCGCGTGAACAGCTGGCCATGATAAAAGCAGGAACATGCCAAATTTAGCCCGCATACACGGACAGTTTGTCCTTCGGGTTTATTAATTTCATAGCAAATGCCTAGCGTGCAGGAAACCGCAATCTTTTTAAGTTGAGTGGCATTTCTGTTGCAATTAACGAATTCAACGTAGCAACATACTTCCCAGTAATAACTGTATCCTCAATTACATTGTTTTGCAGTTTTTTACTGTTAGCCCAATACCATAATCCAATCTTAACCGATCATCATATCCCAATCTGAACCGATTCCGTCACACCTTCCATATTTCATTGAAATTGGAGGTACATACACTGTTTGGTGAGTCAGATATGTGAAATCGACCGAGAATATATATGGGAGCTATACTCAAACCTCAGCTGATTTCAATATAATTTGGCAAATTTATTTTTGTTTCAAATTCTGTTACGCATTCCAAATTTGGAGACTGTAAATGTAGTAAAGTCCATAAATTACAAACAAACATACAAATATTTTGCTCTTTTATAGATATAGATTCTTCACTACTAAAACATTTCAAGGAAAAAGATGCAAATCAAGGAGACGGTAAATGAAGATGTCTAGGAAGAGATGTGATATAAATTCACACTTCTTCCATGTCTAATGTAGAAAAACTTCCTTTACAACAGTGAGGAATTTTACTAGGGTTTGTGCAGGGGACCTCTTATCATCGGCACATCATTAAAGACCCAAATCTATTGGAATGAGATCTAAAAACTGTACTAAAAAGTACATGAATCCAACCGTCTCTAGTGGCATGAAATCTACCGAACCAATAATGCTCAAGATTCAAGCATTATACCAATATTGTTTTAGAAATATTAAAATAAAAGTTGCTCTATAATGGTAGAGAATGTGACCGACGAAGGGAGACAGAAGAAAATTATAATCAAAACTCAGAATAGAGCGCATAGAAACTAAGCCGAAAATAGAAAGCAAATTCTAGAAAATTATTAATTCCCTTCCATGACCTGAAATATAAGAATTTTGCTCAAAATCTGCAAAATTTGCAAGGAGAACAAGTACGTGCGCATCCGAACGTTCCAAAACTTCAAACAACTCCTATATATGTACATTTATATTTTCTCTGCAGACAAGTTTCGAGTGTTAACCGCCATGGACAAGTTCACAAAGTTTTGAATAGGCAAAATGGTGAATGGCAAAAGTATCGAAGATACTAGAAAACTTTAAGAGATATAATTGTCTACTTTGGTGTACCTAAATAAATCGTATTTGACAAAGAGCGGTCTATTAATTCCCAGTGTATTAAGTTCATGTTGGAAAATGAACTTGGACTTGAAATCTTCACCGCACCACGGTATTCTATTCCACGTTGTCAGAAATTATGAGATGCAGTAAGTGTGAATAACCAGATTATTCTTTTGAAGAACTGCTTGAAGTTAGTGTCAAATATATAATCACACAATTCACTCGTCTCAAAATTATTGAAGGAAAAAGTAAGAAATGATTTGGCGTATCACAATAAGATACGGAAATTAGCCAAAAAAAAACAAAGGTCAGAAAAACTTTATCAAACAAAACAAGATGTCAGGAACAAAGTTATCCAAGCGATTCAAAAAGGAAATAATAAAAGGAAAGAGGAACTCAACTCATTTTTTTTATAAAAGCCGCATTAGAAACTAATACAAATTCATTCGTCTTCAGGTTCTACTTACAGGTTGCCTAGGCCCTATGGAAATCCTAGACTATAAACCTGAGATCGTCCTTATCGAGAATGGAATAGGGAAAATACAAACTGGCATTTTCAGAATATTACATGTGATTGATATTAAAGAATGTTACGATACGCTCAGAACGATCAAAAATGAAGTGGCGAGGAAAATCGCTGATTCGCCCCTTCCCTTTCTACATGCACACGTGTTTATTTTTCCAGTAGGCAGGTTAAGTTCGTAAATGGGCCATGTAGGTCCACGTTTTCATATAGCTCCCATATAACGGTACCACCCGATATTCGGTATTTTGATGATTTTAGCGACATTATATACCGGATTTGTTTCAAAATTGGTATTTGATGTTCGTTATGGGAACTACAGTCTGTGACAGAAAATTGTCTGTGCGGGTCCAGGTCTTCGTATAGGCCCCATATATCATATATATGTTCGGTTTTGACGATTTTAGGTACAATACCCACCGAAATTCTTTGAGATGTGGTATTTGAAGTTCATAATGAATGCTACAACCTGTGACAGAATATTGTCTATGCTGGTCCAGGTCTTCGCACAGCTCCAATTTAACGGCACCTCCTTATATACGATACTAGCTGGCCCGGTCCGCGTTGCCGGCCCCTACTTTTAGTTTTTAATGCATATTTTTTAAGGCATTATAGAACACTGATCTGAATGATTTCAAAATAGTCAAAGATAATTGGTCTTTTACACCCATTACCTTAAGATAGGAATTAATTTATTTTTGTCATTTAAATTGTGTGTTGGAAAACCCATAAAGTCCATATTTTTCTTCATAGTATAATTCAATAACGATCCAAAAAATAATATTCGTAATTTTTTCATGTTATACCAAAACGTGATCATTTTTTGCGAGGATGGTTTCTTCTCAAATTACCAACTTTTGCTAAAATGCGTATGAGTAAAATATGGTTAAAATGTAAACTATACTTGAAAAAGGAGTGTACCCTTATCCGGGGGTCATATATCGTGACCTGCAAAAGCGATTTAAGATATCTGGAAAATTTTTTTTTTCCTAAATGTCCAATTCGCTCTACCATTTTGCTCCAATGAATTGCATTTTGAGTTCTCATTGGGCGGATTATTGTAATATGAAAGAAATAGGTTCACATATAAGGGTTATACCAAAGCATGGTCCTATTCTTATAATTATTTGAAAAAATGTGTTGTTCTTCTTAAAATCTCAAATTACCAACATTTGATATACATCTGATATATATTTTGAACAACTGATTATTCATGAAACCCCTAGGAAAAATTTAAAACTCTATGGTAACTTTTGCGAAGTATAGAGCAAAATATTTGAGGCCCTTTGTGTTTGGTTAAACTATATAAAATGGACCCTAAAAACGTTTGATCCCCCCTTTTTGGGATTGTTATGTACCAACCAAACTGACTACTGATGATAGCGCATAGTCACCGTATAACGTTTCATGGGAGTTAAGGTTACTTTTAAGGTTTCGGAAGAATTTTCCGAGGAAATGTATCCTTTTCTTTCCAAATTTTCAATTTGCTCCACTATTTTATATAGTTCGCATATAACAGTTGTCAACTATCAAAATGAGTTTATGAGTCAGTCGTCGTTGAGCATTGACCGAGAGCGGACGCATCTAAGGAGCGTAGAGCATATTACATTTTAAACTTTGTATTTATTCCCAGAATTACTTTTATTTTTAAATAAAAACCATCTTGACAGAATCAGAAGTGGGATAAGAACAGAAATCTACAAGGAATTTCATCATTTTGGATAAGAATTGCAGAAAAATACTCAAAGAGCTGAGAAACTAAGGCGTCAAAGTGATGTAGTAGTGAAGAGCTCAATGCAAAGCAACAACGACGACCAAAGGAGAAACCACGCAAAGGCACCTAAACTCAAAAGTTCGAGTGAGTTTAGTGAGAGTGTGTAACGTGCTCAAAGAGAGCAAAGGAGAAACCACGCAAAGGCACCTAAACTCAAAAGTTCGAGTGAGTTTAGTGAGAGTGTGTAACGTGCTCAAAGAGAGCAAAGGAGAAAGCATCAATCAAAGGAGAATGTACAAAGGTATACTCAAAAGTGTGAGTGAGTAGGACAACGATAGTACATCAAGGAGATTGAAAGCAAGACATAAAGAGGGGAACCCCGAAGAAGAAGTTTAAAAAGGGAAAAGTTAACGTATATTTTTAGGGCGTGCGGCTTCTAAAAAAAAAGGAATAGTTCTAGATTTGCTGAAGTAACGAATTAAAAAGGAAAATTCACAAGGAAAAGTATGAAGGTGAAAATAAGTTCGTTAAAGGTTGCGGAGCTAGACAAATTATTACTGGCAAGAAGCTTACCACGAACAGGAAATAAGTCCGAGAAAATTGCTAGACTCATGGCTTGCAATGGAAATGACGAAGTGGAAGTTGAAGATTCAGAGTCACAGGAGGATTTCCATGGATTTGATGAAGCTGAGACGGGTGATGATTCTCTAACAAGTCAAATGCGAGAGCTAAAGGATATAATGTTGACTCTAGCAAGAAGTGTGCAACAGTTAACAACACTTTCAACAGAAAGGGCTATTACGTCAAATGCAGGGTTAAATTCAAGGGATACAGAACAGCAAGTTCCAGCTGAAGTAATATCAAGACAATCTGGTTCCGGAACATCTGGTTGTTTAAAGGATTACATAGTAATGATACCAGACTTCGATCCAATTAAAGGAAATGTTACATCAGTCCAATTCATTGACAAGGTTGAAACGTTGCAAAGGCTTCATGGATGGTCAGATGAAACAACTTTGTTTGCAGTTCATCATAAAATGAGTGGTGTTGCTAAAATGTGGATAGATGCTTTACCAGTGGTTGAAACATGGAAAGAGTTCAGACAACAATTTTTAAAGGATTTCCCAAGTCGAGTAAGTGTTGCTGACATTCATCGTGAACTTATAGCTAGGAAACGAAACTCGAATGAGTCTTTGGTGGAATATTATTACGCAATGTTGGCCATAGGGAAAAGAGGAAGCGTAGATGAGGCATCAATACTGTCGTACATCATAAATGGTCTCAATGATAGCAGCTTAACAAGAACACTTTTAGCTATGAACCCGCAGACATGTAGTGAATTATTAAGGTCGTTGGAGAATTTGACCATACAAACGTATGCAAGGAAGCAAACAAAGAATGACGAGGATGACAAAACCGCAAGTGTCTCAGGTGGAGCGCCAACCAAGGGAGTAAAATGTTTCAATTGTAACAGGTTTGGGCATATCTCAACTAGTTGCCCACAACCATTGAAGAAGCCGAAGTGTAGTAAATGTGCAAAGATTGGTCACGATGCATCGCAATGCAAAGGTAAAGGTACAACTGTGGCAGCAATGACAGAAGCGTCTAAGGACTACTGCCCACCGGTTATGAAAGATGTCACGGTCAATGGTAAGACATATGAAGGTTTTGTGGACACTGGAAGCGACTTTACCTTAATGCGGAAAGCTGTAGTTCCAGAGGGTTGCGATATGGAAGTAACGTCAAAAAGAATGAAAGGTTTTGGTGGATCTATTGTTGAAGTGGTGGAAATGTTTGAGGCTAACGTTGTCATCGACGAGGAGAGTTTAATGACTACCATTTATGTAGTGCCGAATGACTTGATGCGATATGACGTTCTCTTAGGAAGAGACGTATTGTGTAAGAAGCAAACAAAACTTACAATTGAGCATGGTGTCTTGAAAGTAAAGTCAACAATGCCAAGTACATTTAATGTCGGAGAAAGTCTGGATGAGCATCAAAAGGAAAAATTAGACCAAATACTGTCGTCATTCAAGGACTGTTTTGCTGAAACCCTTGAAGACCTTGGAAGGTGTAAAAATACACAAATGGAAATAAGTTTATCTACGGACAAGCCTGTAGTTGGTAAAAGATACCAAGTTCCATTTTCTCAAAGACAAATTCTGTCAGACATAATTGACAAGTTGCTTCGATGTTGTATTATTCGCCCAAGTGATTCGCCCTATGCAGCATCAGTATTGTTGGTCAAAAAGGCGAACGGTGAAAGTCGTATGTGTACGGATTATCGAGCATTAAATGAAGTCACCATCAAAAAGCAGTACTCGATGCCAGTGGTTGAAGAACAACTTTCGTTGTTATCTGGAAATAAGTATTTTACAACGTTAGACATGACATCAGGATATTACCAGATACACGTCAAGGAAGAATCCAAGAAATTCACGGCGTTTATAACACCAGACGGTCTATATGAATATAATGTAATGCCTTTCGGATTAACAAATGCACCGATGGTCTTCCAGGAAATGATAACCCAAATAATACGTAAGTTGAAACATCGGAGAAACATCATAAGTTATGTGGATGAGGTGATAATCCCGAGCTTGACGATTAGTGAAGGACTCCAAGTACTAGAAGAGTTCCTAACCGCCATAAGAGAAGAGGGGTTGACGCTAAGGCCAACTAAATGTTCGTTCCTTCAGGAAAGTGTAAGTTTCCTAGGTCATACAGTGAGTGCTAATGGTATACGCCCTGGAGAAGTTATGTCGATTTTCGGACAGCCACGAAGAATTGTATCGGATAAGGGAACGGCGTTCACGTCTAAAGAATTCCAACAGTTTGTGGAATACAACGGAATACAACATGTACAAACAGCAGTCCGAACACCAAGAGCCAATGGCCAAGCCGAGCGGATCAACCAGACAGTTTTGAATGCGTTGAAATGTCTAGTAGGTGATACAAAAGAATGGGACACTGAGACAACGACGATACAGTGGAGTATTAACTCGCAGCTGAATGCGACTACAAAGTTCAGTCCAAATGACTTAATATTCAACTTTAGTCTCAGAGATGTCAGTTACAATAGAATTATCCAGGCGGTTGGTGATGAAGAAAGAGAGAATTTCGATGTTAGGGTAATTCAACAGCAGGCTGTTGCTAACATCCAGAAACAAAAGGAAAAATGGAAAGCAAGATTTGACAGCCGTCATTCCAAGCCAACTCAGTACAAGGAAGGCGATTTGGTGGTGATAGACACGGTACCGCAGCCTACAGGAGAATCGCATAAGTTGGATGCGCGGTATAAAGGACCATACATCGTCACGAAAATTATCGGAAACGATCGTTATCTGGTAGAGGATCTGCCGGATTTAAGTTTGAAGCAAAGGAAATATTGCGGTGTTATGTCGACCGATCATATGAAGCCCTGGTGCTATGGTGATCCAAGTCTCGAAATCGAAGATAAAGATGAGTCTGATGATGGTTCGCCCAGGAGGGACGAAGAGTCAGGAGAGGCCGAATTGTCAACTATCAAAATGAGTTTATGAGTCAGTCGTCGTTGAGCATTGACCGAGAGCGGACGCATCTAAGGAGCGTAGAGCATATTACATTTTAAACTTTGTATTTATTCCCAGAATTACTTTTATTTTTAAATAAAAACCATCTTGACACAGTGCTCTTCATATTCGGTATTTCACTGGTTGCAGTCCCAATGAATTTTGCATTTTAAGTTCTCATTGGATGGATTATTTCCATATCTAGTCAATTTCCATTGATTTTTTTTTCGATTTTTCCCGATTTGAGAATTTTTGCCATGAGATCTCTTTTATCGTGTTTTTTAGCGATTTTGAAAAAGTAATTATCTTTTAACATTGGTCTAACCGCGATAAGTTATTTCGATATCATTTGACTGACTTCCATGCAACCCGCCATCAATTTCAGTTCTCAAGAAATCAAGTCAATTAAATAAATTGGTATTAATATTCGAATTAAAAAAAAAAAATATAAAAAAAACACTACAAATGTACATTAGAAAAAAGTAAGTCAAAATGAAAAAAAATCATGCAAAATAAAACATTACTATTGTACATTTCAAAAGTCAAAATGAAAATTTTAATATATCACATTTTTACACGATTTTTTTGAATATTATCCTTTTCGGAAAAGAGACAATTCCGAATTTGTATGAATCGTTAAAATCGGATCAGCGGATCTTGAGTTATAAGCGTAGTAACTAACACAACTTACATTTATATATATAGATTTTGATGATTTTAGCTACATTATTCACCGTTTATTTCAAGTTTCGAATTTGAATATGGTAATGGCTTATGGCAAACAATGCCTATGTATGTCCACGTCGTATAGACCCCAATATAACGGCTATATTCGGTATTTTTAAAATTTTAACAGAATTTTTTAAGGATTTTATTTTTTAAAAATTTCCAAATTCGTTGCAAATGGTGGAGGGTATTAAAAGTTCGGCCCGGCCGAACTTACTGCTTTTTAACTTGTTAAAAAAAAAAAAAAAAAAAAAACATTTCGGTATCGCACAATTATTTATTTGGCGCAGTCGGTAGGATCTTTTATAAAAACTAAAAGATTCAGTAATACGAACCTTTTAAACAAAAAAGGAGGAAAAGGACAATAAATTATAGAAAAAGTGGAATAAACACTTAGAAATCAAGTGAATCGCCACTAGTAAGTTATAAAAAAATAAAAGTTGAGACAAGCGTGAAGTGAACAGTTAAAAAATAAAATCCAGTGCATCGCCACAAGAAACTGTGAAGCGAAAACTTAGAAAATCGAGTGAACCACCACAAAACACAAACTTTTAAAAACTATTTTCAACAAACAAAGACGGCAACAAGCCTTTGATTCAAGAAGAATTGATGAACAACCGGAATTGGTAGAAGAGCTAGCCAGACGGGAGTAGCAACTAGAATATATGAGACAAGCATATTTACCGCTTAGAAATTGTGTATATACTAGCCACAAGGAAACCCTCAGGAATACAATAAATAATCTACCAATATTCACCGGGACTGGCGAAGCATCAATAAACTAATTTTTCAGAAGCATCGAATATTTGTTGTCAACCATCCACAACGAAAACACTACAAAGGAACAGTGAGGACGATATTATACAGAACTATGCAAGGGCAAGCAAAAAACGCTATAATCAACATACCGGACCCAGATAATTGGCAGCTGATTAAGGAAACCATTGAGCCACATCAACTTTATAGGAAAGTGGGCAATCTCAAAGTGAATAATGTAGGTGAACTTATGATAGAAATTCAAGACAATAAATTTAAAAAAAAAGAACTGACTGTATATTATCCCGACGGCCATTACATAGAACTTAGCAACATGGACTGTATCGTAGTGAATACGGTAAAGGAAATGAAACAACGGGTTTTACTACACACAATATATTATTATTTATTCATTTCATACCAAAATACTAAAACCTCCAAGGCCAATGACTAGTATTAATAACGTAATTATGCTCCAAGTAGAAATTAATAACTTAAAACTAATTATAACTGAGTCAATATATTTGGCTCCCCAGCCATAACTGCACAAAAAAAATTAAAAAAATATTAATATTAATAACAAATAAAGGGCGTGATAGCAACAAAACAACAAGCCTTAAATAAGTGTACATACATATCTCAAAAGTAAAAGTACTAAAAACATTTACTGTTTTTAGCAAACAAACTAATAATATACATTAGATAAAATGGAGATTGGAATTATGAAGGTGGCCTATACATTTTAAACGGAAAGCATTATTAGTCGGTGAAAATATTCTCAGTTCAGTAGGCAAATAATCCCATACACGGGCAACTCGTATTACAAACGATCTCTTAAAAGTAGAATTGTATATTCTAGGTATAAATATCTGAATACTTCTCGAGGACATAGCAAAACTAAACATATTCCTTAATAAAGTAGGTACACCTGTTTTCACAATTTCATAAAAAGTGCATAACACCATATAATTAACAAACCGTTCGAAGTTAATTCCTAAGAAAATATCCATATAGTCGGATATCTTTTCTGGCAACCCCGTTGTGTGAAAGTTTATAATTTTACCTGTGCTCATTTTTTTAATTTGCGGTTATTTTAAGATAATTGTGCTTAAATATAAATTAATCTCCTGATAAGTATACATATTTCATAAAGTACTTATTGGTGTTTAAGTGTTTTGTGTTACTTGCAAAATAATCTTCTTGTAAATATTTCCATTTCCATTTTGAACTAGCTTTTGTTATTTTGTTTTTCTATCCTTTTTGTTTTACTCTTTAGTGTATTTCATAAACAGAATTGTCATCGTGCAATTTTAAGAAAATTACGCGGCATTGATTGTTAAGTCTATAGAATAAAATATTTTATTGCTGATTAATAATTTTTTGTTTCTTTACTGCTTTATAATTAATTATTTTAACATATCTAAAATGTTCTGCTCGTATGATAATTGTACCAATCCGATATTCCACAGACTCCGATAAAGCAATTGAGTGTTGGTTGTACCTCAAACGGTAACATGCTATTTGCGTAGGAATTCATGCAAAAATAGCTGATGCACTCAATTTAGAATATAACGAACTAAGGTATTGTATAAAATGTCGTCATATAAGTGTAGAATTTTATAATTTCGCAAGGGATATTTCTTCTGAAATAAGTGTAAGAGTTTCTCGTTTTAATTCAATTTTTGAAAAATTTCCTATATTGGATGAGTTACTGTCTTCTCCACTTGAACCGAACCACTGAACCGAAGCGTAGACGGCATTCTATGGAGTCGTGGCTTCAAATGTTCTAAACGGTTCAGTCAGTGTACCCCCGCCGGTTTCTACTAATTGCGATATGGAAACTTTTGGGGTGAATTCGTATGCTGCTGTTGTGTCCGAAGTGTGTATACTAAACCCAACTGCCGTAGCAAATGTTGTCGCAGGTCTTACTAATCCTTCCTGTGCAGCGAATATATCTTCTCCAACTCTAAGGAGTGGTAAAACTTTAAGAGTTTCTTCCAATCCTACGAGCGAAGCGAGTTCATCGACTCCCTCTCTTAGGAGAAAGGAAACCAGACCAACTTCCGCAAGGGCACCCTTACGGCAACTACTTCAGCACAGACATCGCAATCTGGCCAGCAACAGGTGATACAGAAATCCATATAGTGAATATTGGAAAACACAGCAGAGAGTGATGAGAGAGGGAACAAAACAACTCTCATCCCATACATCTCATGCATACAATTTTAATTTAAAGAGATGTTCTTAACTTAACGGTTGTTTGCTGTTGGCTCTGAGAATAACACTAAGAGTGAGTTGAGAGTATTCGACATGAAAACAAAAAATTCGATGGCTACAGTTTGAAAGCCATAGCCTAAAACAAATTTCAAAGAAAAGAGTTTTTGCAAATTGTGTCCTATTTACGGGGGAATGTCAGTGATTTGAAAACAAACAATTAGTACGCAATTGTTGAGCCAAAGCAAAGGACTTGAAAGGGAATTACAATATCCAAAATTAAGTAAAGTTTTGAGAAAAGTCTGGCAACTCTTGTCGTGTATAGTTGTGTTTTATTTGTGTCAAAATAGCGATTAAATAATTTTACATATATTATTATTTATTGTTCTTTTTGTGCAGTGAAATACTAACAGTTCTTATTAATATAATCGAAATTATACGTGCATTGTGAAGTACAGAGTTTAAATATGTTTTTGCACCTTCTCATCTTTTTGTTTTACTTTTGCTGTTTACGTCTTGTAACGCCCAAAAGTCATGCTTTCGTTTTTGGGGTACATTATTATTGTTCCCTAGTAGAAAGAAGTATACTTAAAATACAACATTGGAACCCCTGGTGGCAAATGGCGGAACTACGCAAAACTGTCAGATTGGGATCAGCTGCTGTCATGAGAAAACAACAATCGTTGTCCAGCCAAAAAGGTATAAAAGGAGACGCATTTCACCCAATCGGGATCAGTCTTCTGTTGATGGCTGGTAAGTCAAGTGTGATTGGGAGGAAGAAAAGGCGCGCAACCTCGGTTGAATTGAGTCTTAGTAAGCCAAACAATAAGCCTTGACTATTTGTGGTGACTGGACTGGACTGAACGCAGGGTCAAGTGAGGGTTGTAGCAATACTCCCTATTCTTCGGGCTGCGTTGACGGCGACTGAACGCAGGGTCAAGTGAGGGTTGTAGCAATACTCCCTATTCTTCGGGCTGCGTTGACGGCGACTGAACGCAGGGTCAAGTGAGGGTTGTAGCAATACTCCCTATTCTTCGGGCTGCGTTGACGGCGACTGAACGCAGGGTCAAGTGAGGGTTGTAGCAATACTCCCTATTCTTCGGGCTGCGTTGACGGCGACTGAACGCAGGGTCAAGTGAGGGTTGTAGCAATACTCCCTATTCTTCGGGCTGCGTTGACGGCGACTGAACGCAGGGTCAAGTGAGGGTTGTAGCAATACTCCCTATTCTTCGGGCTGCGTTGACGGCGACTGAACGCAGGGTCAAGTGAGGGTTGTAGCAATACTCCCTATTCTTCGGGCTGCGTTGACGGCGACTGAACGCAGGGTCAAGTGAGGGTTGTAGCAATACTCCCTATTCTTCGGGCTGCGTTGACGGCGACTGAACGCAGGGTCAAGTGAGGGTTGTAGCAATACTCCCTA